AAATCTCGGGAAATCGATTAAACAGAGGATAAGGATGATCTACGTAATCAGAGAATAGGTTCAGGAGTCGGTTGAGTGTAGGGAAGGTGTTAGGCACCCCACAACACCCGTTTATCAGAACGGTTACCTAAAGTTTGTTGTGCTCTTTTAATATGGTTTTATAATTATTTTAATATTCTTTCTTTTATATTTATGTGTTTGATAAGAATTAGGTGAGAAATATTTATTTGTTTACAAGGGAGGACGGACTTGACTCAGAATCTGACTCTTAGGCCTACGTACCCTGTAATAGGGATTAAAGTCCACATAGTTCGAGCTTAAAAGTTTGTTGGTGAAAAATTTTTTTTGAAGAGAAATTAATTAGAAATAATTCACCATTTTGTAAATAAAACAATTTCTGAAATTTTGATATGTGTGTTTTAAATTACAAAAGGTAATTTAATTTTAATTATTTTCTTCATTTTTAATTTTTGGAATAAAGAATTATTATTATTTTTTTATGTTTTATGATTGAAAATTTTAACTGCTATACCTGCAGAGCCTTATTGGTTCATACGGTAATAGCAATTATTCTAAGTATTTACGGAGATTCCGAAACCTCACACGATAAAAGAATTTAGCAATTTAATTTATTTATTTTAAAGCGTTAATAATAGTTTGCTTAAGTATGTATATATGTTTTTAAAGAATTTTAATCATCATACCTGTATAGCCTTATTAGCTTATACGGTATTATAATATAATTTATCCTAAATATCTACGGAGATTTTAAAATCTCACATGATAAAGGAATTAAATTTAATTAATTAATTTAATTAATTATATAATATATGTATATATATATATTTTAAAAAACTAAATCGTTATATTTGCAGAATCTTATTGATTCATACGATAATACGATGATCTTATAAGCCTACGGAGATTCAAAAAATCTCACATGACTAAAAAATATAATCGGTAAATATGGTTACAATTTAAATACATTAATTTAGTTAATTAAGTTTCTTAATTGTATATTATATAATTATTTACACAAAAATTATTTATTTATCATAAAAATTGAGAATCACTGTATCTGTGAGGACTTATTATCCCACATGATAACGTGATTAATTTAAGTCCCTACGAAGATTCTTGAAATCTCATATGAGATTTAAATAAATTATTAATTCAAATTATAAAAGAGAGTTAATTTTATATATAAGTTTTGCTCTCATATCTGCGAAATCTTATTGATTTACACGACACGAGATTATCTTGAATATCTGCAGAGATTCAAAGTCTCACTGATAAAAGGATTAAATAATATTCACTTTGAACATATTTTAATTCGTAATTTATACGATGCATATTTTTGAATATAAAAATCTTAATCGTTATACCTGCGAAGCCTTATTGACTTGACTCACGCGATAATACGATTATTCTAAAGGTCTATGGAGTTTCAAAAACCTCACATGACCAAAAGATATGATTGGTAATATAATTATAATTTAAATTCATTAATTTTAATTTTAAATTATAAAAATGTTTTTTATTTTATTTACAAAATCCATTTATTTATTTACCATATAAATTGTGAATCATGATTTTGTGAGGATTTATTATCCCACATGATAATATGATTAATTTAAGTATCTACAAAAATTCTTGAAAATCTCACATGAGACTTAAATATTTATTATAAAGAGAGAATTAATTTCAATAATGGCCTTTGAAGCCCATATAAATACCTGCAAATTGATTCTCATACCTGTGAAATCTTATTGATTTACATGGTATGAAACCATTCTCAATGCCTACGGAGATTCTTAAAATCTCACACGACAAATAAGTCATAAATATATGTCTCTCTCTCTCTCTCTCTCTCTCTTTCTCTTTTTTATACTTTAGCCTCTTATAAGGAAATCATGACAACATATGAAGTATTACACATGAATAAATTTCCACAAATGAACAAAGGGTAATATAAGAATCAACCCATGCCATCACATGTTACATTTTTCTAAAACATAGTAATTAAAAAGAGTGAAAGGCAATTTGAGAATCAACCATGTAAAACTAAATGTACCTAGATTAGACACATTGAATCACCCATGTCTGGCATTTTCTCTAGGGCTTGGAGAGAGGCCAGAGGTAGAGAAGGTGGTGACAATGGAAGTCACCGAGGGCAAGGACCACTGCTCACCACAGCTGGTGTTAACCCACTGTTTGGTGCAGATCAGCTCCTAAAGCTGTTCGTCCAGCATCGTCTTGTGCCATTGCTTGCTCACACAAGCTGCCATGACCAGTGTCCTCACGTCCACGAGCTTCAACACCTTGAACAGTAGATTTCATTGAAATACATAGAAGAACTAGAGTTCCTAGCAGCCCAATAGTCAGCCTGCTCATTGACATCCACTATCTTCAGCTTTTCATCTTGTCATCATCATAGGCATGCGGAGCGCTCATCTTCTAAGCCTGCTCCTGCTGGTTTTCAAAGACGTCACGTCCACCTCTGTTTTTACTTCTTGGTCTTCTCTTTTGTTCTGTTTCTGTGCTCTTCTTGCTCGATTTCTCCTTTTCGGTTTCCTTCTTTTCCCTCAGTCTCATCTCGATGCTCTGTTTTTGCTTCCTTCTTGATCCATTCTCTGCTCTCTCTCCCTCTCAATCTTCCCCTCCTCCTTTTCTGTTTTTTTCTTTTGTTGTTTTCGCTGAAGCTTCTCTTCATTTTTGTGCTCTCATTCTCGTGCTCTCTCTTTCCTCTTTTCTGCATTTCATTCGTGCTCTATTTTTTAGTGTGTTTTCCGTGCATGTGTGTGCTTGCTTTCTTGCGTTAGTGTTTCGTGTTTCTGTTGCTCTGCTTTGGTCTGCTTCTTTTTCTGTGTCACTCTTTCTTCTCTCTGGTTCTTTGTCCTCTTTCTTCTTCATCTCTATCTCTCTACATTTTCAGCTGGCGTCTGCTCTTCTCCTTCTTCAGTCTGGTCTTTTCTTCTGTGCTCTTTGGCAAAAAAGTCTACTCTCTTCATGTTGGTTTTGCTGGCGTGGCTTCCCTTTTTTCCATGCAGCCTTCTGTTCCTTCGTCTGTGCTGCCCACATGTGTTGAAAAAGGGAGGCCCTTTTAGGGCTGTGATGATTAGTGTCATCTGGCCCTCATGTATTATATTTTTTATCTTTTTTAATATATTTTTATTAGATTTTCACACATATTTTAAGTGGAAAATGAGATTTAAAAGAGAGAAAAGTTTAACTCTTAAAAAAATTGACACCCAATATTTTTGAATGATTAGAATAATTTAAGAGAGATTTTTTTAAGATTTAACCTTGTTTGTTTTGATTTTGTTAAATTATTATATTTTTTTAAAAATATAATCCTAAAATGGATTAAATTTTATTTGTGTTTTTTTTATATTTTGATTATTTATTATTAAATTAAAAAAAATTCGGACAAAATACGGTATTCACAGTCAGCCTATAGACGCACAAGACAATGTAACTTGTCATGTTCATGCGAATGACATTGTTTCAGCAAGTTGCTCAGCAAGATGGCTTTGATATATTCATGAACCAATCTCTAAGCTCATAATACTAAGGAGGATCTAATGATGGATTTATCTCATTTTTTTCAGTTTCATTGTTATTTCTTCTTCTAGGGGTTTAATGTGGATTTTATTGCTCATGTCAGTTTGATCTGCGATTTTTTTTTTTTTTGCTAATATTTCTTTCGGCTATCATATTTTGTGGAGTAGGCACCATGCAGAAAGTAATACGAAGACTACAAAGGAAAATTTAACAACAAAAAAAAGTATAAAACATTCCCGCGTGCTCGTTTCAACCATTAATTTGATAACTTTGGACTAGGTATTCTGTATATACTCCCTCCGTTTTTTTAAATATAATTTTTTTTTAACCAATTCATATAATTTAAAAAATTGTTAATAATAATTATTTGGAAAATTAAAAATTTGGATTAAGATGTCCGTTGATTATATTAAGATTGTCTTTTGAAAATGAATTTCTATTTTATGATAGGTAATTTGAAAAAAAAGTATTCTTATTATTACGTCATGTATATAATGATTTGACTGAAGCTCTGTGATGAAATATATAGAAGCTTCCTATTGTATTTGCTATTTTATTGGCAAATCTTTTTGGGGGTTTTAGTATGTTTAACTTTTGTTCATTAAACTTCATCCAATCCCCTCTTGGAGAAGTTTGGAGTCCTTGTCAAAATTCATAAAATCCGACGACGAATGCACTTTGACTGAATCATTGGTCTTTCTTTTTTCTTTTCTAATTTTAATTTCTCCAAAGGTGGTCCATGTCAATTATTTCGTTATATATATCTAAATATTAATCTCATTTATTGTGATCGTGAAACGAGTAAATGACGCGGAGAGGAATTGGCACGCCGCAGCCAAGCCACACGTTGAAATATTTTAGATAGGAAAAGAAGTTGATGGAAAACTTAACATTTCAAGAGATTCAAAATTTTTCAAGTTGAATTTTTTCAAGTTGAAATTGATGAATTTGTGTAAATTTTTTATTTTTAAGAACAAGAGAAAAGATTTTATATTTTTATAAAAATAATAAAATGAGTAAAAATACAAAAAAAAAGAAAATTTCACACAAGTTCACTAATATTAATTTCAGAGAATTTGAATTCCATTTCATGAATCAAAATTTGGGAAATTTATATTAAAATATTTTATAATATTTATAAACAGACTTTTAGAACGTCATTACTACTTTTCCAAAAACAACTCGCTACGAAGTTATTATAAACTGCTAACTTTCCTAAAAATGAACATTAATTTGATGAAACTGGCCAGTAATTATTAATTATAATATTTGAAAAAATAATCATAAAGGTTTACGGGACATGGTACTCGGTTGTATCCAGTAGCATTATTTTTTTCCGGTCCAAGACAAAATTATAGATGTCTTCTCACCTATAAAATATCTAATAATACTTTTATCATCATATTAAATCAAAACATGAAAATACTTGGAAATTCCCTCCTCTGGCTCTGTTGACTATTGATATGTCTAATTCTTCTAGTTCGTCTCTCCTTATATATCCTATCCATTACTCCCAGTAACCCTGCCTGGTTATCCGAAGGGTTTCGACTTGTGGAGCTCAGATCATCCAGCCATGCAGTCTCCGACGCAGGAGCAGTCAAGGCTCCTCCAACGCCAAGTCATCTCCGGCAAACAATTCCTGCCGCCGGCCAAAACACGATGGCCAGGGTGTTCAGACAACCTTCTCCGCCCTCTAAGCTCGCCAACTACCTCCCACCGGCACCACCCTGATCTTCAACGCTGTCCTCCCTACCATCTACAAAGGTGCCAGTGCTCTTCCTTGAGCACCGTCATGATGAAAGTCGTCCTCGGCCTGTGCACCACCATTTGCTTCTTCACTCAGTTTCACCGACAGCTTCCAAGGCCGCGAAGGCAACTCGTCTATGGATTCGTGCTTCCAAATGGACTCAAAGTTTTCAAGCCTGACCCTGACGTGCAGGTCCCCAAGGATGACAAGTACAGGCTGGAGTTCGCCGACTTCGTGCATGCGGTGTTGTCCGTCGTGGTGTTCCTCGCCATAGCTTTCTCCGATCAAAGAGTTATTGACTGTTTGTTTCCTCGTAAAGCCGATGACGTGCATAACGTGATGGATACTTTGTCTTAATTGTGGGATTTGCTTGTTCTTCTTTATTTCTTCTCTTCCCCATCACCAGGCGCGGATTCGTCCCAACCTGAACCAAACTAAATAAGCATTATTCTTGTTGAATTTTTGTGCGTACTTAATTAACCGTCTGAGAAATGGATTTGTCCTGAATGAATATTCCCATCTCTGATCCAAAGGATTCGCTATTCAGCATTGTATTGATTCAAAGTTCAAACTTCAAGATAGACTACACGTGTATACTAAAAACATGTAATTATAATTAGACGAAGTCTGCTACTGCCATGCAGGAGTAAAAATGATGATAATAAGAAACGACTTTCTTTTTAATTAAATGAAGAATCGTATATAGAGGGATCATGTACTTACGCCTATCCTGTGTCTCCTTCTTGGTTGAATTTTATTTCGTCAAGACGCCACTTTGGATCTTCAAATCGGTTTACTTGGATTGGCTATATTCCCAGGAATTTTTAATATAGTAGTGATGATAGTGGAGATTCCGGCTAAGATTTCTCATGCAATTACAATATTTTGATTTAAATCATGTGCTACAATATTCTAATGTTTTGAATTTAAACTTACATCCGTGTTTTGATCTAATATATATAAGCGCTACATTAATGACTGCAGATAATCATCATGATCACCACCATAATTAATTGACTTTGTATTCTATTTTCTAAATCTCGATCTACGTTGATTTTGTAGTAGTTATCATTTTTAACGGAACTTTGATGAGATAGGATAATGGGACAGACGAGGGAAATGAGTTGACACAGACTGAGTGGGACAGACGAGGTGAATGAGTTGACACGAATGAGCCACGTTAATGGTTAAAATGGGCTAGCAAATTGCCACAAAAACAAAAAAATAAAATCGAACCTGTATTGTAGGCACCTTTTTAGGAGTCAGCTTTGCTCCTACACAAAGTCACTCCTCCTTTGCTCCTCTGCACTGTCTAAATTATTCTCCATTTAATTTTTTTCTTTTTATTTTATTTTTATTATATTTATGAAATAAAAAAATTTATAAAAAATTATAAAAAATATAGGTACTAAATTTGATCATCATCTCAATAGTCTAGATTTATATAATTAAAATATATCAATTATAAAAAATTTAAAAATTATAATATTAAATAAACCGTTCAAATTAAATCATCAAAAAACGATACTATTCAAGAGTAGATTTATTAATTATTTTATAAATATTTATTTTTGTAATACAATTTAAAACTATCCAGATTGATAATCAAATTTATTATAAATATTTTTTATAATTTTTATAAATATTTTATTTTAATAAATATAAAAATAAAAAAATTTTGAATGGTTCAAATTAATTTGGAGAGTGTAAATTTACTCCTGGGCGCAAAGGAGGAGCGACCTTGTGGAGGAGCAAAGCCAACTCCCCTTTTTTAACCTCACAGCTCACATGGACTCAATGGATTGTTCCCCCCTTTCTTTTTTTCTTGTTGGGGGGCAAAATAGACAAAGAAGTTGATGCATATAATTTGAATAATCCAGAAATGTCGCCATTGCATGGAATAATAATATTTAGTTGTATGATAAGCAACGACCCAACTCCCACTTGCCATGTTTTTCTGGGGCCAACCTCCACTTGCCATATATACATCATCCTCCCTCTTTGTTCTCTTTATAAACGACATATTAACAACACCTCAATCATCATCTAATACTATTTTATTGAAATCTACTGAAGTTAGTTAAATAATTGATACTGTTTAAAACTAAAAAATTTACTTTATCTTTGTTAAATTTTTCATCTTTAAAAAACGAACACTCTTTCATATGCAATCTCTTATCATACTCATGAAAAATAATAAAATGGTGGAATTGAAAAAAAAAAATTAATAGAGCATCTTTTTATGCAATTTGACTTATAAAAGGGCTATCAATTTTTTTTAAAATGTAATTTATATATAGGATCATATAGAGTACTCACACCTGTTCAATATATAAGGCATTTTTTTTAAAAACATCATGCTCAAAAATTTAAAAGTATTTTGGATTTTTTAAATGTAATTAATAATTTTTTTAAAAAATGCCCTTAATTAGGGGTGTATAATTAGAATATTTTATTAAAAAATTTTATTAAATAAAGATAATATAACAAAGAATATATAATTTTAAAACTAAATATTAACTCATTAAAAAGTAAATCACTTAGAACTTAGAAGTATCTTATAATATTCAACAATTAAAGTACGTCACAATTTGGTCATTTCATACGTGTGACCTGAATTCCACATCCATTAATTCCGATCGTTTCCTTCTGCATCTTCGAACTTAATGGAGCAACAAGACACTTTAAAAATGCTTACTTTCTCTAGTCCATATATGTATGTGTGTGTGGCATTTTCTACTAGTTATTGTATAGGACATCATATTATAATTTTAGGAAATTTTTTTTATTTTTACCTCTATATTTCTTGGTGCTTGTTTGGTTCGCTCCCATTGCAATCTATGCAATGGTAATAAGGACTGCATTATCATTAGATGGAGTGTTTGGTTGCCTTTTCACGTGGGCCTATGTAATCATTATTATCAAAACAATGGTAATATTCATTCATACCTCTCTATGAATGTTTATTGCATCACATTATCATCTCTCCATTCCAAAAATATCCTCCCACATTTTTTTTGTTATACATCTCTCTCCTCTCCTTTCTTCTTGTTCCATGATCGTTTTTTTTTTTTTTTTGAGAAAAACCGTCCCTCCATCCGTCTCCACCATACCAACACTCTCCCGTCATCTCTACTGCCATTATCCACCTCTCCTCATCTACATTGTCCAACTCCCCCCCAAATCTCTGCATTCTTCTTCAAACTCATTTGTGGTGGCCTTCTTCTCCAAACCCATGGAACCTTCTTCTTCTCCAAATACGGCGGCGGCGGCGGCTGCGGCGGCCATCTTTTCTTGTTTTTTTTTTTTTTTCAAACTCACCGGTAGCAACCTTCTTCATCTTCGAACTCACCGATGGCATCCTCCTCTTCCTTCTTCGAACTCACCGACAATGCCTTCCTCTTCGAACTCACCGACGGCGGCCTTCTTCATCTTCAAATCACCGATTGTTCCTCCTCCGAAATCATTGGCGGCGGCCTTCTTCATCTTAGAACTCATCAATAGCATCCTTCCTTTTCTTCTTCAAACTCTTCCGTGACAACTTCCTTCTTCTTCGAACTCATTGGCAATGACCTTCTTCTCCAAACTCACCAGCGCAACAACATCCTTCTCCATTTGAAATTACCCTTCCTTTATTCTCTAATTGATTTTCAGATCTTATTGTGATTTCTTAGTCAATATTGCTGTCTGAATTTATCACTGATTTGTTTGGAAGAGAAAGGAAAAATGAGGATGGAAGTTTTTTTTTTTCCCTTTTTGTGACCAAGGCTAAAATAGTCATTTAATAATTTATGGGGTATTGATTTGGCAATACATACCAAACAAGCACTAGGTAATTAATATATGCATTGCACTGCATTGCATTACACAGGTGTGCGATTGAACCAAACAGGTCCTAATCTGCGTTGAGGACATGCGTATGAATAGAAATGTGTAATAAATCATAACTTGTCTGAAACATGTCGCTGCGTTCAAATACGTTTGTTTGCTTACAACTGACAATTCCATTTCTGCTATTAGGATGCTAAATGACCCTAAAGATATGGAGATTAACATAGTTAATGATAAATGCGATTAAGTTTGATAAGTTTTTTATAGGCTCAGCTTACAGTTCAAGGTTTGCAAATTTCTGCAATTCTGTTATCAATCCTATGCACACATGAGCACGCATGACGGACTGTGCTTTAATCTATAGTCTGTTTTCCACTATCGAAAGCTAAAACATTCCTACTTAAGTGTACTGAGAGGAAAAAAGTAAGTGTACGTGCAGGCCGCTTCTCAATGGGACTCAACAAACTGAAAGATTATCCTGTAAAGTCATAGAAAACTCCTAGCCTTTAAGAAAAAAACAATTAAAGAGAAGCTGTCTTAGAACAAGATATTCATAATCACACCACAGAAGCAACTAGCCATAGAGCAAGCCTTTCAAAGAGATCACAGGGGCTCAAACATCACAGCAGACTTGGCTTTTACAGAATCACCAAAGCCATTAGCAATATATTACTCCTCAGCATCTCGGCAAAGACAACATATTTTGCATTAAAATTTTTGTAATACAATTTAAACTATCCAGATTGATAATCAAATTATTATAATATATTTTTTATAATTTTATAAATATTTTATTTTAATAAATATAAAAAAAATTTGAATGGTTCAAATTAATTTGGAGAGTGTAAATTTACTCCTGGGCGCAAAGGAGGAGCGACCTTGTGGAGGAGCAAAGCCAACTCCCCTTTTTTAACCTCACAGCTCACATGGACTCAATGGATTGTTCCCCCCTTTCTTTTTTTTGGGGGGGCAAAATAGACAAAAGAAGTTGATGCATATAATTTGAATAATCCAGAAATGTCGCCATTGCATGGAATAATAATATTTAGTTGTATGATAAGCAACGACCCAACTCCCACTTGCCATGTTTTTCTGGGGCCAACCTCCACTTGCCATATATACATCATCCTCCCCTCTTTGTTCTCTTTATAAACGACATATTAACAACACCTCAATCATCATCTAAATACTATTTTATTGAAATCTACTAAAGTTAGTTAAATAATTGATACTGTTTAAAACTAAAAAATTTACTTTATCTTTGTTAAATTTTCATCTTTAAAAACGAACACTCTTTCATATGCAATCTCTTATCATACTCATGAAAAATAATAAAATGGTGGAATTGAAAAAAAAAAAATTAATAGAGCATCTTTTTATGCAATTTGACTTATAAAAAGGGCTATCAATTTTTTTTAAAATGTAATTTATATATAGGATCATATAGAGTACTCACACCTGTTCAATAGTATAAGGCATTTTTTTTAAAAACATCATGCTCAAAAATTTAAAGTATTTTGGATTTTTTAAAATGTAATTAATAATTTTTTTAAAAATGCCCTTAATTAGGGGTGTATAATTAATAATATTTTATTTAAAAAATTTTATTAAATAAAGATAAATATAAA